ATATATGTGTGTGTGTGTGTGTTGTTATATATATATATATATATATAGTCATAGATACATGTATGGCATGTGTATTAACGAAGATCCGAAAAGAAAGATATGCCAGGAGTCTAACAATCGAGACAGTATCGCTACCACACATAAGGGATATAGATATTACTTGTGATTTAAGTGTCTATGTTCGGTGTGATGAACCGATACTATATTATTTTCTTATTTTGATTGAAATTTAGATATGCAAGATTAATTTTACGCTTTATAACAGTTTATAGTAACATACGCAACAATCAATTCTCCCCTCGCCTTTACATAGAGACGAAATTCGGGTATTGAATCTGCAATACTCCGGCCTCCCGGATACGTCTCCATGTGATACATGCATACGGGAGACGGTTGTAACTGAAAAGACTCCCCAGAAACACTACGAACTTAGAAAATAATATATTATTAGAGCTCGCTGCATTCATATTTCGGAATTGACGAGTGGTTGCTGTCTTTAGATTAAGTACAACCTCTGACATGGTACTATGATAGACATGCAGCACTGCTCGATGAAACTGGCACCGTTCTGCCGGTTGATATATCCTCGTATACATGGATATATTGACAGTGTGCCGTTGCGGGTGTAGTTTGCACCACGGTGTTGATGAGGTATTGCTGTACACTCGCAGAGCGCGCTCGTGATCAATTACAACAGGCAACACAGCGCACTACACAGACATGCTAAATAAATAAATAAAATTCAACAACGTAAACGCTTTTCTTTTTTTTCTTTTTTAAAAACAAAACAAAAAATATTTTAAAATTTTCTAAATATTACACAATCCAAAGGCGATGATTGACCTCGATATTGGCCACAACAGTCCTCTCCTCATCGCTATCACCTGCACAGCCAAGGACAGAGAGGTTTATTCTTGTTATGAAATACATATTCGATTTTCTAATTTTTTTATTTTCAAAACGTTTATTCGAGTCAAACGACTGTAAACAGAGACGACCTATTATAAGACCGGCATTGTCAAATCGAAAAGGGTTTTGCATTTTCTCTTTTATTGTTTTGAGAAAAAACGCGCAAGACGAATTGATGAACAGATGAGGTATTTATGTTTTTTTTTTAAAAAGACAATATCATAGCCCTCTGAATTCAACATCAGAAGGATATGACAAGATGTTTTTTATAAATACATTAAAAAAATATTATTTAGGCGCGGCACAAGGAGTCGTGACAATATGAATATTTTCAAAATTTGAACTAAAATCTAAAGAGCTGAGAAGACAGCTCACAGCGCAGTGAGGCGTGAGCGCACCTGCGCCATTGTGCGTAAATAGATTTCTTGATCATATCCACACAATTAATGTGTCAATCTATAAGCAACCCCCATAGAGTGATTCATATGCTTCCCGCAGTGAAGAATCCACATCCGCTGGACAAACTGACTTTTGAAATAGACTACAAATTCAATGAAACTGGTCATACCCAGCGCACTTCTCCATTTCCTGCTTCTTCGACACAACGATGGTGGTGAATACAAAGACATCTATGGTCAACCATATTATCAATCACGAGCAAAAGCAGCAGTTTGACGGACATAATGGCAAAACACTTCATATTGAGGCTAATCGCATGGGAGATAGATGCGATGATGGAAGCACTTTCGATTCAGTGGATATTCGCACACCAAATATACTAAGAAAAACAGCACCGCATACAAGCTTAGCTGCTGCAGCTAGCCAGGTGGGAATCAAAGATATGGACATAGACATGGAATCTATCGTACAAGTTGTAGACCATCACACGGCTACTATAGACGAAAAGCAAATAAACGCGGGCAAATCCATTCCACTTGCTCAGTTTTTAGGACAGGTGTCCAGGAATAGCGATTACATGGCCGGTTCATTCTCAACGAAGATGTGTAATGCAACAAGTACTAAAACCACTACCGAAAATGACAGATCTACACAAGGAGAACGTCAAACAGACCCTCAGCAAAAGGTACTATCAAAGGCTGTAAGCTCGTTACCGTACGATAGCCGTGGTGAACTGAAAGTATTGAAACCAGTTTCAAGCAGTAGCTTAGAAGTTGGGAATGTCACAAGTAGCGTGGAGACGTACACCAGCACTACAGTTGGTGAAGATCCAGGGCTTGTCATGAGATTGCGGAAAGACTATTCAGTGGCACATGCTGCTGTTCGGAATGAGCATAAGAAGAATTCAGCTGAAATGAGTGCAACTGATATGCGGAGTTTTGTACAGACTGTGAATGATAGTAGTAGCTTGAAGCGTGATTTCGCGCCGAACAAAGACCTTTATGATTCTGCGATATACGATTGCATCGATTTTAACAATGAATGGGATACAAATCTTGATGCGACGCGGAACGAAGAGGATGACAGCGTGGACTCGAGCAAAGAGGTTTGTACTGGATTAGCAGTTTCGTGTCCAAGTCAACTGCACTATAATATATACAGATGTTTCTCAAAGTATATCTTACGTAACAAGCACTTCGATATATTCTTGAGATAATCGATAATAGTTCGACCATACCGCTTTTTTAACGCTTCAAAAAAAAATAGTCCCATCCTGACTGAATACTAAGTCACTTTACGCACACAACTAGTAGGTTCTAATGCTAGCTCTTCAGGACGTAGAGATGCGTCTGAGAATGGCAGAAAACAAGCTGAGGTTTGTAGAGACCACTAAAAACAGGCACTCAGGATTATTGGGAGGTATGAATGAAATCAGAGTGCAACTCAATCACCTAAAACAATCATCGAGGGCGAACCAGACTGTGATACAGCACTTGACAACAAAGCAAAAGCAACTGGTAAGTTGAATTTATCAGCGCCCATTATACTTTGTTCGCGTGTCAATAATATTCACAGCTTGATCGCGGCAGCGGAAGTTTGTCGACCGCTCCTTCGCATTCCGAGATGTGTGTACATATATTTACAATTAAGTTCTATCACTATGCTGAAACGGGCAGGAGCAGCGCGGAGTAGATCGATTGCTAAATGAAAGATTTTGGATCGGATTTACTGTATCTGCGGGTCTGCTAAGCATAGCAATTTACTTGTCCCGCTAGTTATGTATTTAGCATACTATTTACCCAGTCTGTACCCGCTATGTAGCCAGGTTATAAATCACAATCAATCACTGCAAATCTGATTATGACGCGTATGCGAGCGTCATATTTTATTTTAGCGGTCGAATGCGTATAAGCGTTCAGACATTTTGTTTTAAAAAACAATCAAAAATTATAAAAAGGATACATCGGCCATAGCCCTCCAAATTATACATTTAGGGCTAAATATTTATTTATGCAAAAATGTCCTGTTTTTGTTTTTTTGTTTTTTTTTGATAATATGCATTTTGCAATTTCCGGCCTGTAACGGAATTATTCTATATTTTACACAAAGCTTATCCAATTGGACGATAACAATAGGCGGGCTCTGCCGGAAGGAAGCAATGGTCAATCTTCAAAAACACAATTTATATTTACAATAAATACAAATATTGTCTATTCAAATACATAGATAAATAAATTTAGAGAATTAGAGACATTTATTGCATTTTTATTTATTTAAATAAACACAATACTTTAGGTATTGTTTACTAATTTTTTTTACAGGTTTACTTTCCTGAGCAGGTCGACGGTGGTTTGTATGGCCATCGCTATAAAAAAAACACAGCGGCGGATCGTCACGTCGTCACGATTCCAGTCGCCAAACTTAAGCTATTTATAGTTAGTTATTGATACAGGATCTATACGAAAAGCCTGTTGTAATCAATTTTATTTTATTAAATCGACATATGGAGATAAGACTCAAAAGTAGTGATATCAAATTGACGATCATCTAGGCGTAGGGCATTGGGTGCAAAAGCTGTGTTATTGTTCTCTATTTTCTAACTTTTACACATTGTCGAATATACGAGTCGCTGGCTCGCCAGTGATGATACTACCAAGCTCTAGCAAATATATATTATGTCATGTGAGAGTTAATTGCTAAATGTTAAGTAGTGCCTGTTCATTCCTTCAGATTCGAGTTAGTAGCACCGGCAGTACACCATAAAGTATCAAATTGAAATTGGGTTGTTATTGCCTCCGAGCCAACTTTCGTAAAGATGGCGTTGTCACACATGGTGGTTATATGCATAACGCTTCTATTGGCGTTGCTTCAGCATGTTCAGGGTATGTATATATGGATTGTCTGGGGGAGTATTCGGGGTTTTTCGGGTGCTTTTATTTATCGGAAATGATGCTAAAATTTCAGCATATAGAATATCACTTCCACAAAAGAAGGTACAGCATACGTAGAAGCAGACAATATTCAAGCAATACTATTGTTTCTGAGTATACACTTCTACAAAAACATCGAATCAAGAGATTAAATCTGCGCCTTACAACATTGCAGGAGCATCATGTGCGGACTATGCCAACTGCGACTCGTGCATAAACAATGGTATAATAAGCGCATGTGGATGGTGTGTAGATGATCAAACTTGCAGATCTTCTAATACTGACGCATCATGTTTGGATTACCAAAGCCCGACATCGCGAAAGATAGATGAAACTGTCAATAATAACTCAGATATCAACCCCGTTCGCGTGGAAGTGAAGCTAAGAGTGGGTATGTAATACTGTCTTGCACCCTGAGCCTCAATGCACACGGTTTGGAAACTACTACAGTTATACCATAATGCACACGGTTTGGAAACTACTACAGTTATACCATTCTGGCTCGGTAATACCGTTTCGATTACCATTGTGGTATCTGAATGTGGAGTCTACATAGTTCCAAGGGGGCAAGGATAAACAACATTATCATATCTACCACCTGACAACAACCATATACACACCTGGCCAGTAGATATTTCTAGTAGGTGTGCCACTTGTCAGCGTATTCCCCATGAATATGATAGTTCTCCAGTACATTTATGACGAACAAGTATGTCGAAGAAAAGTATAGCGAATATAAGCAGGGTATATATACAAATATTGAAAGGGAATACGAAAAATAACCGGCAGTACCTATGGCCATATTGCGAATGCTAGGCAGGATTTGTTTTTGAGTGAGGTGCACATTATCGCTCTATTTCTGTGCAGAGGGTTTTTTTTTGCTCTGACTCCTAGAATTCGTTGCCCGATGCTCACTGTGAAATCTTTCTAACAGGTAAGCCCTTGACTGTATCATTCGACGTGAAAGTTCCAGAAGGCAAGCCTATCGATTTCTTCTTCCTGTTTGATGCTTCAGGGTCCATGGTACGTTTGTTTGACACCATAATTATATTCAAATGACTGAAGAATTCCTCAAACTTGTTAATTTGATGTGCATGGGAGAGCTATCCTTGGCCCAACTCACACTTGTATTTATATGTACATATTGGCGCATTTAAAACAACCACACTGCATATACATCTAGGGGCACTCTCACACACTAAAACGATAGTTTCTAACTATTGGTACCAGTATTGCTGCTGAAAGAATGCTTGTTTAAGTGCCTGAAACGATGGTCGATCACGTGCATAGTTCTGCGCTTGATTTCTGTACCCATATGATTGATGATTTATTCGTCAAAACGTAGCGCTTTCTAAGAATTATCTTCGTGTTGCCAACGAGTTTTAGGGCAAATTTAGTCAATATTGTCAAGTTTGATACAATTTCGAAATTAGAAGTTAAATGTAGTATCGACAACTACTAAAGTATCTATTTGCTCTATATCCGGCTGCCGACAGTCAGACGACATGAAAAAGATTCAATCCATCTCGGCGCAATTCCGAAGTCTCCTCACCGGACTTTGTGACATCAACGCTGGCGATCCTAATCCCGAGTATGTAGGGTGCGAATACATCCGTATAGTTTGTCACAGAGAACATGCCGTATACACTATGTGCACAATCATGCCATTTCGCTATGTTGGTCATGTATCCGATACCCTACCTGAATATATTGTAAAACAGATGAAGGCGTAGATGAAAAGGCCAACTATTTCTTCTGTCTGCACTACATATCGAAGTGTTGTATGGGTGCAAGCTGTGTGCTCTACCCAACTTCCGTAATCTGCACAACGATGAGCGTGTACACAGATGTAGAGATAAACTGATATACAGCTCAAAACCAATAGTCAGTTTGCGCACAGTGTGCGTGTAATCACAGTATGTTTTCATGCACTATCAGGATACATGTGCACGTATATAACGAGAATACTACTATACAATTGTTTCGATATTACCTGAGAAGTAACCGTTAACCTGAACAAAACAGATTGATCTCAGCGGAACTTGTGCGACATAGCTGAGGTAATGTTGTGCATGTGCCAGTCGTGTTGCGAATGCACTCTCCCTACAGCTGGAAAAAACTCTATATATAGCGATTATCAAAGGATTCGCTAGCATTTATACACGCTGCAATAGTCACTCATATTCCGTATGTACCCGTGCACAACACAGCTGCGTGAAGATGCAGGTCGCAAACTTCATCGACAGACAACAAAACTTTATCTACCCGGACTCGATGGATGACTACAAAAAGCGTGTGTACCCGTTCCGTTTTGGCCTGGGCTACGAAGACGGAGAGTTCAAAGCATTCCTAGATACCCCCAATGATAGTGTAAGCATATGTATTCGTGGGACTGTTTTTTTCATGGGACTGTTTTGGGATTTGTTCGCGAATGTATATATATGTAACTATGTATTCACGGCTATAATACAAATACTGCTCTAGTTAAACGTATCTCAAAGTGTATGGACATTCATCCATATGCACAATGCGGTCGAATACGAGCAAAGTTTGAATTGAAGCAGACATGGGCAGTTGCGTATAACTGATTTGAACTCACTAAATTATGGGCCAAGCATGCACCATTATAACACAGATATTTTCTAAAAGGTAATCCAAAAAAGGTGCACAAGCAGGCAAAAAAGTATACCGCATGCGTTTGATGATTCTCATAGTTTCCAGATGTGTGTTGATATGTACATATTGCATCATGTCCAGTTAAAACACATGTGTAAATGTACGATTACTGATTTCATATATTATGCATTTATAATCATGTCTGTAAAAGCCTTCTGTGGCATTCCCAGTGCTTGATGATTGACAGTGATACGTACACGCTCACAATATATGTTGTCTTATCCCGTATCCCACAGAACAACTTCATCGACGCGATTTCAGACACCGACAACAACCGCGTCATTCTGAACGGTGATGAGCCTGAAGGGGCATTTGATGCAATTATGCAGGCCATTCAATGCGCCAAATGGAATCCCGATGCACGACATCTGGTAAGTGGTTTTTGAATACATGCATAAATGCGCTGTGGCTGCTGTCGTAAGAGTGTGAGAATTGTGTGAGGATGAGTAGATGTGGTAAATTGTACTAAGATAGCAGGGGCGTGGAAACATGGATGTACACGTGCTGGTACTGAATGGGTAATGTTTCATTTGCCCAAAGACCATATATGGAAGAAAGTATTGCAAGTGAAATTACGGTACAGCTGAGCAGTATGTACACGTACATGCCAGCACTATGTGTGTGCCAGCTACGCGCACATATGCATGTACAACATACTTAATCGTGTGCAATATGGTGTAGGGTTGAGATTTAGCGACAGCACACGACTGTTTTAGTTATGGTTTGTCAGTGTGTGTAGTTTATATGGGTTGATAGTATAAACGCTCACTGGATATTCTATCCGAGGTTGCAGTGTTTGTATTGTATTGTCTTTCTTCGCATGGATCCTGCAACGCGTTGAATCTTCTCTGATCTACTGTTGCCCTGCCAATAAGCCCTCAGAATAAGCAGAAACACTATACCATACTAACTTCCACGCACTGCCCAGTGGACAACCAAGCACTATGGATACCGCTCTTACCTACCTACTTTGCACCCACCTCTTCACAGCTATTCGTAGGGACGGATGCGGTGTCGCATTTAGAAGGTCTCAGCCTACACCCCCTCGCCACACAGTTCACTAGTTGGTTACCTGATTTCTTCACTGGCCAGTACCTGGTGAAGCGGTGCAAGGCGCTCGGTGATCCGGGGTGTAGGAAGGACCTGTCTGGAAGGTATAGCGCATCACAGCTTTGTGGTTCAGTTTAGTCTCATTTGAGTTCTCAGGATGTAATACACAAGTGGTGAGCATGCACTTTTTTTGGTTTGGATCGACCTCTGTGTGAGTGAGAGAGCGAAGGAAAAGATTGATTGTGGCTCTGTTATATCTAGTATGCATATGTTTCTGGAACTGGGCATCGCATTATGTCCCTGCCCTGAAACATTTGCTCCACCCCTCAAGAGCCGCGTGACACAGCTACACCTCACCGCATACTACCAATACGTTGCACACAGATGGGGTCTGCTGCAGGAGCGTAACAAACAAACGTGCTGGATCAAGACCTTTGACGGAGACACGGCTGAAAACGTTCGAGAAGCTCAGCTACGCGAGGTGCACAGCAACTGTATGCTTGACGACGCCCCAAGTGCCAGTAAGCTGAAGCAAGCAATGCTAGCTAACAACGTGATACCCATCTTCGCTGCGACTAATACCGACAATAAAATCTGGGTATGAGAGCAAGGCATATTTTATAAGCCAGCAATATGAAGTAGCTTCATCGTTATTATATCTACACTGTGCCACCACTGCTCCCTCCGAATACTCATGCCTGCCCCTACACCCACACAGCAATTCTGGACTGCCTTGCAGGCGAGTCTAGGGTTTGGTGGCATCGCCGTCCTAGCAGAAGACTCCGAGAACATCGCCACACTCATACAGAGTGCGTACAGCAACATCCAGAGCACGGTACAGATTGAGCCTATCGACAATGGCTATGGCCGAGTGGACTTTATCAAGATGTAAGCTACTGCCGTGGAAGGGTTATAGGGTTAGGGTTTACAGCTTTAGGGTATAAGATCGGCTGGGTTACGGTTTAGAGCTTTGGGGTATAAAATCGGCTGGGTGGTGTAGTGCACGTACTGTACGGCTTAGTATGACGTTTGGTATAAGTGATACTTCAATTCAACTACAAAGATCTACATTATTACGATACATTGGTCACCGAATCCAATCTCTCTTTGTGCGCCAGGATCGATGCACCTAAAACCGTGGCGAATCTGGGTGGGTCGGTGACGATGACTGTGACGCTAGAGGCCAAAGCGGACGGTACACCTCTGAGCACAGCCTGGTCTGATGTGGAAAATCCACCGCTGCGTTTGCTGGCCTTAGGCATTGGAGAAGTAGAGATCAAGATCGGAAAACAGACCTGCGACTGTATGTTCTTCCAAGTATCTGTTCAGTATGTGTCTATCCCCTGGTATGTGTGTGCTTGGTGCCTGTCAGACGAACACACGAGTCTATCAACCTCCTTCGCATAGCTCACATACAACCTTTGCCATTGCAGGTTATGACACAGAAGAAATCCTAGCAAATGGCGTGTGCACGTGCGGGTTGTGCGAGTGCGAGTCGGTCACAGCATGCCCAGTCAATCCCGACACGGGCATCGAGGTAACATTAAGTAGTGATGCTTGGACAGACAGTTTACGTTGGGTTATTAGTAAATCGGTTTAAATAGGGCGTATACATGCATGTATTTGAGCGCACAATATGGGTGTCGACGTATGTGGTGATTTCAGTGTAGAGCTATGAAAGAATTGGATACTCTTTTCGGTATTATACTGATTTGAATCTGTCTGTGATTTCTCGGATCTGTTTTCCGTCCCAAATTAGTCTCGTAAACTAACCTTCGCCACAATCTCTTTCATTTGTTTTTCCGTGGCAGTGCTCTGGCCTGGGCGTGTGCACATGTGGCACGTGCCGCTGCAACGAAGCCACAGGAAGTGCATGCGAGTGTAAGTGACGCATGCGATTGACTATGCTTTCCAAACTGTGTCATGATTGTTAGATTTTAAGTCACATCATCAAATATAGCTTATTTGGGTATATTACAATACTATTTTTAACATATGTAGTATGATATGTTATGGGATACTACCTGTATGTTGTATAATGCATAGTTTATAGGATATTATTTATATGCTGTAATATATGTCACTACTAGTAGAAAATGTGTTGTATCATAATAGTATTTACATACGATTAGCATCATATAAGTAGTCATTCGGGTCTAACTTCAATTTTAGTGGCGCGAACGGATGAGATTGTATTTTCCGAGGGCTATAGTTTGGTCTTCCAGTCAATACATACACCAACGTTACCGGCACCATAGCCGCACTTATTCAATTCAGCCTTGGGCGCATGTTTGTTAGTATGTGCTCCCATTCGCACAGCGTCGAATAATCAGATAGTGGGTATACAACCACACCTACAGACAAATGAAAAACGTATGCAAATTTGTACTGATAATTGTTCTCTCGACGTATAAAAGTATTTACTGATACGTTTTGTCTACGTATATTGCAGGTCCAAGTGGTGATGGAGCATGTCCCGTGGCGGCCAACGGACTTGTCTGTGGAGGCCCTCTACAAGGACAGTGTGAATGTGGTAGGTGTCTGGCCCTTGTATACTTATACTTTCTGATATGTATTTCCATCAAGAAATCACAAAAAGGATAACTCACTGGAGGTATGGAAGCCATGGGAAGTCTGGTAATATACACACACACACACACACAAACATATATATATATATATATAATATATAATATATATATATATATATATGTGTGTGTGTGTGTGTGTGTGTGTGTGTGTGTGCATACGTGCACTAGTACGGTGAATTTTGACACAGACAATCAGTGGAAATAGTTTCTGAATACAGAACGTACCACACATGAATTTTCCTGCCAAGAATTGATCATAGATTTCTCTGCAACGCCGCCTCTATTATTGTCACAGAGGACAAAATGTGTCAACAAGCCTCATTGCAACATACTAACTAACATATATAGCCAAAGCAGTGATACACTAGTATAAAATGTTGGGATATATCTATATTCAAAGTGGATATACATACTCAAGTTGCATATGAATTTTGGTTGGTAGTGTATGTCGAAACATTGTTTAAACAAGAATTCCACACAGCTGAAGTCACCTACCGCTTTCTGAACACCCTCCGCAATCCTTATCCCACCCACAGGCAAGTGTGCGTGCTCGGCCGACTACAACGGCACGTCTTGCCAATGTGCAGAAACGCCCCCGCAATGCAACGCATCCAATTGCGTTAACGGGGAGTGCCTACCCAACGGTGATATCAATTGTCCGTATGACATCTGCATATGTGACGGGCTCTATACGGGTGACACTTGCGAATGTATGTTCGCTTTTCCGTGTGCTTTCGCTTGTGACAAACTTGTGTATGTATGTGACTGCTACTTATGTACGTATATTCGTGTGTACGTATGTTAGGGACTGTATCTGTATCTGCAACAACGCATTGTGCAGGGACAACAGTGGTAAGAACAATATGAACGAACACTGCATGTGCGATGGTCTATCTATCGGGGACATATGTGGATGTACTTGTCATGCGAGATTTCGGGGTGTATGTACATGACCGTCTGTGTGTATTTGTATGTGGATAAATCGGTAAACCTGTGCTATGTACAACTACGTTGTTCTATGTATATGTGCATTTGTGTATGAGTGTAATACTGACAAAATGGGTGCAGGTTTAAGTATATCCATATTGCATGGAGGCCACATACTTCAAGTTATCGCGTACTAAAAGACGTTTGTCACCGTGATATCCCTGTTCTCGCTAGTCGGAAACGACCTATCTCCTATACCCACAACTCACAACATCTATTAATGTGCCCGACTCCAACAATCAATACTCCACTGTCTTCTTCACATCGACTACATAGGCGCGCCCTGTGCTAGCACGTGCGCAGCTGAGAAGATGCAAGGGGTGTGTGTCACCACTGGTGCCACGTGTGGATCCTGTGAGTGTGCAGATGGGTACGATCCAGGTAGGTATGGGGCAGGGCTGCATCTGTCCTGAGTAGTCGTATGGCTATATTGTAATACAACATACCTACACCGGCGTGGGTGGTATGTGCTTGGGTGGGTTCATAGTACAAGCCATGAGTGTATTCACGGGATTTGTATAGAGAAGCGTGGTGTGTATAAGGAGTAGCAGTGGTATGAATGTTGTTTCGAATGCAGGTGCTTAATCAGCATTAGTAGTATGAGTACCGTTATCTACGCGACCTGCGTCTCATCATTGCCCACTCCGAGTGACATATTTCCTTACAGCATCTTCCGTTGAAATGCATGTACAAAAGTTTTCATCGCATGCTCTATTTGAACACATATTCCCATACACATTCCCATACACGACACAGTTTAAGCACACCTCGCAACATGATAGCATGTGCATCGCTTAAAAGCCCTACATCCGTTGTGCAAGCCTCGATTGACAATATGTACCGACCATCATCGCACGCCTCTATTGCGTTACATGCTATGCCATCATCGTCATATTTTAACTTAGTATATACACCACACCTATCCTCACAGCAACGGACTGCCAATGCAAGATCAGCGATCCCACAACCTGTCCACTCGTGGACGGTGAAGAGTGCGGGGGGCATGGCGTGTGTGTGTGTGGGGTGTGCGAGTGCAACACAGGCTACTCAGGCACCGACTGCGGCTGCAGTGAATACACACCTTGTGACTTTGACGACAACAACCAGCAGTGTGGTGGCCATGGACAGTGTGTGTGTGGCCAGTGCGAGTGCGAGGTCAGTGAGACGAACGAGCCCTTGTATGCCGATGACAGCTGCACCTGTAGGTGATGGTGTGAGTGAGGGAGAGTGATGCTCTTGTATGTGATTGTGTCTGTGTGAGTGAGAGAGCGTGATGTACTTGTAAGTGGTTGTGTATGTGTGAGTGAGGGAGAGAGCTCTCAGAACGCAAAAAAAAATCAACAAAAAAAATCGAAGTACTTCTGCTACCTACCACTCCTACCGGCGCTGTAACTACCCACTCACCCCTCATGCATTACCCCGTCTTCGCTCTCCAGGTGCCATCAATACCATCTGCCCTACGTTCAATGGCTTAGAATGTGGTGGTGAAGGCTTCGGAAACTGTTTAAGAGAGTCCCAAGACTGTGGTGTGGTATGTGCCCATCTGCAGTTTAGCTACCCCATCCATGCATACACACATGGTAGTCTGGTGCTATGGTTGCGTCTATTTCAGGTGTTCACATTTTTGCTTCAGCCTATGATACGTACCCACGGGATCATTGCATACACATCTTGTGCTGTACTCATCTCTCTATATATCACATCTCTCACCTCTCTCTCTCTCTCACTCTCTCTATCCCACATGTCCTGTCTAGTGTGAATGTGTGGATGGTCGTGCTGGGTCCAGCTGTGAGTGCATTGCTGAGGATTGTCCACTGAGTGAAGACGGGCTCGTCTGCAACGGCCGTGGTATGTTTATCTGAGCAGTTGAACGTTCAACGACGCCTAGGCCCACTTGTTCAGAACACTCAATCCAGCAGACGAACACGTTTAACGCACTCAACGAATAGATACATAGTCAACAAGATGAAGGACTTGATTGTTCTGCCTATGCTCTATAGTCATCCTATGTAGCTCTCCACCGAAACTCACAGCCATACTCAATCGACAAGATTCATTCAATCCCTCACAGCTTACTCCTTACCAAATCTGCCAGATAGATAAAACAGGTTATGAACCCTAAAACCCTATCTCACACGACCCATAAACCGCTACAACCACCTATCTCATATCTGAGTCCATCTGCCCATCTGTTCTCCAGGATCGTGCAATGAATGCGGGCGCTGTGAGTGTGATGAAGGCTTCGGAGGTGCATCGTGTTCGTGTGAAATTGCGGCCAATCCGTGCGATGCGGAGACCACGTGTGGTGGGCGTGGCACGTGTTTGTTTGAAGACGACCAGTGCGGTGTATGCACCTGCGACGAAAACTACATCGGCGACACCTGCGAATGTAAGCGGTCGATGTTAGAGTGTGTGAATATGTGTGTATGTATGTGTGTATGTGGCATGTGCATACATCTGCGAACGGACTTATTTGCATCATACTTGTATCGCGATTGAGCGCTTGCCAGTTGTTGAGATCATGTTGGGCATCACCATGGCAACGGATTGTCCGTTCAGTCAATATAGAGTGCACCTGTGCCGGCTGTGTTGACATGGGTTCTGTAAGTATCGTTCTGTTCTACGCAGTCTATGTTAAAAATATAGCTCGCCTTTAAGAGAGATTGTAGGTCGATGTCTCAACATAGCCTCATGACGATCTAGCACCACATGACGGTCTAACTAGCACCGCATGACAGTATTGACATAGATACAGTCTATTAAGTCTCGGCATAGCACCATATCGTACTGTTCTAATATCACATACCGTGCTACTTACCGGGTATATCACAGGCGATGTACGGCCCTGCCCCACAGTCAACGGACAACTGTGCGGAGAATTTGGGCTCGCCTGCGAGGCCTGCACCCGAAAGTGTATCTGCGAGGACGGGTACAAACAGCCCACATCGGAAGACGGGTGCGTCTGCCGAGACGATGTGTGTGGCGAAGTAGTTCTGGCCAATGGTACCGCCCAAGTGTGCTCAGGTCGAGGTAAGCAATACACATACGTTGGCATTAAGGGTTAGGGTTTTTTGGGGGGGGGATTTGTATCCGGACCCCTTGTCCCCGCCCTGTCCAGTTTATTTTTGGACTGGTAACCCGCTATATGCTACTAACGGATACACACCCCCTTGATATACAACTACGCCAGGCACCTGCGGAGCGTCTGACTGTGGGTGTACTTGTGACGAAGGGTTTGCAGGACAGGACTGTTCCGAATGCGATCCCGGAACTAACTTCAACGTCACCCGTAACGTTGTGGTGGGCGACTATTGTGGCGGTGTTGTGGTGCAAGAAGCGACAGCTGTGTGTGTGGAAGATGTCTGCGCGTCCTGGTGTGAAGCGCATACAGACTGCGGTGACTGGTATGTTTGGTACCGTTTTGAGTCCCTTAGGGGTGTGGCAACTATTCGTGTTGGTTGTATATCCTAGAGTTTGTACATATGATACTGAGGGTATGCGATATTGGTATTGCTCCCGGAATAACATATATCACTGTAGGGATACGCCTCGGAAGATTGCGGATGAGCTGTGATATCTTTATTTGGTAGTTTATTGTTGAATCTCTGTCCCCACAGGTATACTAGACTTTTGTCGCTACCCAGTAGTTAGTAGGTTTACTATACATTTCCCGTCACCCACTGATTTACTAGCACAGGTTTACTAAAGCTTTCTGTCATAATCCTGACAGCTAACAAGGTCTTGTCGCCCACATTACCTCTCTAAACTTACCATCTGCTGCTTAATATACAGCGCCGACGATCTGGCGTGTGGCTGGTGTGGCTCCAACAACAAGTGCTATGATGCTGCGCGGGTCAGCTCTCTGTGCGCTGACCAGGACAGGGTCAATGAGGACTGCAACGATCCCGTTAATGCGGGCGGGGCCATCGGTGCCGCAGTAGGGGCTGTGGCTCTGTTGGTGCTGCTGACGGTTGCATTAGTCAAGGTACACACGTGGTTGTTATCCTGTGTAAACATTGGCTGTTGTAATAACTGTGGTTTGTGTATTCATTGATTGTGATGCAGTATTGCCGCCTTTTTATTCGATGTATGTGTTTACATATAGACACATATTCACACACTTTATCACGAACTTCACAAGATTCTTATCCGTAAGTTTCGATGCTTTATCACAAAATACACAAAATTCGCATCTAACCTTATTTTTTGCCACCGCACAGGGCATCCAAATGGTGATGGACAGACGAGAGTGGGCTGCGCATAATCGTGCACTAGAAGGCATGAAATGGAACACAAACGCAAACCCCCACTTCGAGCCCCAAACGACTGAGACAATCAATCCCTTCTATGCGGGTGGACCCTAAATGGTGTAATCGCTAAAGTGCTGTCATGGATTCAGTGACCCTGCTTAGCGCAGTTTGATACATACCAGATTTCAGAACGTATAAGGGTATACCAGAATGTATATGGGTTTGTGATATCACCCACTATACCGTATAGGCATGTGACCCGTTCTTATCGGGTAGATGTGCACATATCACACGCTCATATCAGATAGACATATACATGTGACCTGTTCGTAAGAGATAGATGTGTACATACGCGGGTAGTATGCTCAGGAGTACAAGAGTAACATACAAACAACAAGATATGAACTCAAGGTAGGACCAAGCTAATGAAAGCACGATTATTCGAATAGGGAAGAGCGCACATAGCGTGGGATATCCAAGTACAGATGATACAAAAGTGCAGAGAGGTTATCTCGATTGTAAAGGCGAACACACATCTGTATAGCATACAAAAGCACCTAAGAAGCAGCCCTCAACGAAGAAGTAAACCACTTCTCCTATAAATATATATAAGCTACACGCCCTTAAGAATAGCCACGGACGGAATATTTAAGATACGCAATAGTTATGTCAGTGACAACGAGCAGATAATCGAGATAAAAGATATGCTAGAAAGCAAAATGATAAGCAAGACTAAGGTGCATTCTGTTGGTCGAGTTTCGGTACGAGTTTGCACTTTACAACTGTTTTATAATTTTTTATAAAATAAAATGAGAAAACGCGCTACATTTTCAGCTTAATATAATGCCCGTAGTGCCGTACGCATTGAAGCCTGAACAGGCTGCAGTCGCCAGTCAGGTGGCGTCAGCAGCGGACACTGGTGATTGGACTCCTGGTGAGACCTGGCCAAACCTGCTGGAGAAGTGGAGTTTGGAGAATACAACGCTGCACAAGTGCACATAGCCTTCTAAATAGACACACCGCAGCAGCCGAATTACGGCCTGAGAGTCAGAGTTCAGTCGTCTTCGTCCAGAATTTTGATTAAAAAATGACTAAATATAATAATATCCGACAGATGATTTATGATTACGATTATGTACTCATTAATACTTGATTCAACGATTTACTCTTGATGGCAGAAGACGAAGTCGACTACAAGGCAGGGGCTTGTGCTGTGTTGCCCAACACAACACACTCCACTTGTCTTGCATTGCTAACATCTTCTCGCCTAAACCTGCCTGTATAATACAACAGCGCAAGCGATCCAGCGTGTGGATGGTGTGGCGCTAACAACAAGTGCTACGGCACCGTACGCGTAAACTCGCAGTGCTCTGATCAGGACAGAGCAAATGAGGAATTCGGGGAGCCCGCCAAGGCTGGCGGAGTGATTGGTGCCGCGATAGGCGCCGTTGCAGGGCGGGTTTTGCTGGCCTCCTGATCAAGGTATGTATAGTAGTACAGTCTGGAACAGGTGTTTGCTGTGTATGGTGTGCCATATATTATACCTGGTCTCCAGGTCTTTCCTACTGTATTTAACCGGTATGAGTGGGCTTCCGTAGTGACAGTATTCCACGACCGTTACCGTGTTGCACTGACATCTTCGAGTATGCGTGAACAGTGTGAACGACTGCTTGCGATTGCGATGGAATAGTGCCGATGTATGTACATCCTAGGACCCTTGTCTTTTGTAAGTTCATTGCGTATAGATCTTTGTATGCTCCATGGAGACGTGCATTTGCTTCACGTATCTACTGTTCTATGTGGAAGAATGTGTCTGTTCGTGCATATGACACACGCTACTATCGACACCCTGGTGTTATTGAAATGATGCATCTACTTGGGAACACACGCAACTGACGAGGTCTCGCGAGTAGCATACCGGTAGAATGTAATAATTCTAAGGCGGCAGAATATGTGCACAGCGTCGGCTCGTACGGAGTTTTATATACAATGTGAGATTTTCGGCTTAAACTTTGCCAACAAATACTTGTGTTCCTATACTTTTTACCATATATTTTTAGGGTGCGCAACGGTCCATGGACAAGCGCGAGTTCACAACCGAGCACTAAATGCTTCAAATGGCAACCCTCCGCAAACCCGCACTTCGAGCCTCTCACGACCCAAACTGTAAATCCCTTCTACGCTGGTAGCCAGTAAATGTTGGTGTGAAGAGGCTTTTGCTGTGCAACGCTTCCATAATACATTGTATTGGTAGAACGAAACCCCCGTCGCACACTAGTACCGAGACTATACTCCACCGTATAAGCTACACATCGCGACTGTGCTGAGAGGAACGAGCACAACGTTATCAACCTCGTACATTCCATGTGGTGTATGGATGCATCCTGGAAGGCGCGCTGCACCACGTTCAAGCTAAATGACAGAGAACCGCAAAGATTGACACTGATATTGTGCTCACTGGTCACAATCCGACTACTCTACTCGGAGCACACACAAAACGGCACGGGAGCACCACCATGTGGCAGAATATGCACGCTGTGTTAACGTACAAAGGTGCGCTGTATGATATATCAACTATCAATAAACTCTCAATCGGAATTTTGAGCATGGATTTATACACTGGGGAAATGAATTCAGAGCTCGCCCACATATTAAAAAGAAATGAGCATACAGATTCGAATTGTAGACTCTCCGTGATCAAGGATCCGAGGTCGCCGGCATATTATATAAGGCACGAGATGGAGATCACCAGCAAATTATACAAGATATGAGATGCTCTTGCACGTATAACGTATTCCCGTTGTCCTCTTCCGCGGAATGCTACATGCAATGTAGCATTCATAAATATGTATATCGCTAGAATCATTTGGTTCCCCAACTTTTTTGGAGTATACTCTGGAGCATAGTCAAATAGCTATCCCAGTTCCCAGTTCCCACCCCAACTTTTGTATATTGTTTGTTGGCAAAAAAAAAGTGACACCTGTATTGAAATCGATGTCGTGTGCAATTTTTTAAGCCATGAAGCCCATGATATCATTTATTTATTTATTTATAAGAAGCCGTGTCATTTACACTGAATTTTGAACGTGAGCCTTGTCCGAGATTGCTTGCGAATACTTCCGTTACAACATTTGCAACGGTCAGCAAGCGGTAGCAAATTGACCTGTTCTAAATTTGCGCCCACATAGAACCATATGCCATTAAATGTCAGTGCAGGACAAAAAAACATCCACAAATACTCGCGAATAATTATCTCGTATAATAGCCTGTGCTAAACTATATTCTGTTATGATTTCACTTAGTATTAGTGCATCTTCGCATCCCTGCTCGACATGCTCACGAACCATAATATGTGGTGAGCCCGTGTTATGTGTCGTGGTTAACTCAAAGCCAATATATACCTGTTATCAACACATAATCTGCGGGGAGCAGGAGTTGTTCGCCTTGAATGGGTTTGCCTACCTTTCAGATCACGCTCGGTACTTTGTTCGAGAGTGGGCACTGTCAAACTTTTCAAGACGTAAAAGACATGAGACGGAAGTGGCCCTGCTGGCAGAAGTAGTTGCAGATAGTGTGCGCAAAGTAAACAATGGGTGGGTGGATACCTCAGCCACTACTGTTACAAATTCTGAAGGTTTAACCGATGATGCTGAACGGTATCCTGACGATGTCGCACCAACTAAAAGGGTGCGGCCGGAGCAGGATGTGCGGAGTCAGACAATGATCCTGGATGATTGGAAAACTTATGATTCGCCCTGGTCTACGGTGAATAACTTTCCAGACTCTGTCGCATCTACCAGCATTGCTCAGCGCATGATACGAGATGCTTTGCTGAGTGAACCGGTTGAATCTCGGCATGAGTTGACAAGGTCAGAGACGGGACAAACATAGGAACATATATGCAGCACCTTATAGGCAGCAAAATTAAGGGATATCAAAATATTGAGCACACAACGCTTTCTGTTGACGCTCAACTGGTCCCAGCTGTCATAACTATTTGCTTCACTTTAAAACTACTGCGGATAAGAAGTCTATAGTTACACGCCGAGTACGCTATGATATGTAAGTGAACTAATTTTTAAACGTGGGCTCGAAGCGAGATTAGAGAAAGCGTTAGTTCGACATGATCCTTCACTTACTGCGGCATACGACTACATATATTTGTAGTCAGAGATTGCTTCATTGCACATCGTTTGGTCACAAACAGCGATGACAGTGGGTCGACTATCCATACGGCGTATTTAATACATGCCAACGAAGTCTACGCTGTCGACGCTCATGGCTTATCCAGGAGATAAGGAACAGACGGAGGTCGGATCGAAGTGCCCCATTTCCTACTATTTAGTTATTAAACAAATTACAACTGTATGCACCAACAGAAACTAACTATTTTTAAGAATATATTGCAAATATACTAAATGGAAGCCTTTTTGGTATATGTTATAGTCAATCTTTCTGTTCTGTCGCATTGGATTTATGACTATGAGTTTTAAAACGTGCCATATAATAGCCGTATAGCGTACAGTAGCCGTATAGCGTAGAGTTTCTAAGTCATGGTGCATTATTAGCGGCCTGTTCCATATTATATAAATATATGAAATTTGTGTGACCCACAGTATGACCGTGGATCCATAAGTCACAGCTACAAGAAGATGCTCCATATCATAAAAAAAATCATAAGCATGCTTCAAACACTGACCCACTGTTGTACATAGGAATTGAAAACTTTAGAGACCACTGACACGAGTAACTGGTGTATATGTTTCAGAAAGGTTGTTCTACTTCACAGAGCGAAGGACCATGAAATTGACATATGTGATAATGACACACGGCTCACGAGTCGTATCTCTATATAAACCAATAACGGTACGGCTGGCAGCACCAGTGGTCAGCTTCAATGCTTGCATGGTTTTGCAATTTTGAAATTGCTTCTGCCAGCTGATTTTTATTTTTCTCTTTTTTGTTCGAAGTTTATTGCAGTATATGTTGGTTTTCTACATCATTCTTATCCTATGAGCTAGACTTGAATCTTAGAATAGTTCGGATGGTGGCGCTCTGTTGTAAGTATCAATTTATATGGGTTCCATCTAATGAACAGATGTTATTTTGTGAGTATATATTTTGTTGATAACCTTATTGCGATAGAAGGTAGAAAAGGACTCTTGTACGTCTATGTTAGGTGTCGATCAGCCATCCTCAAGGACAATAAAAGACTGTCACTTGAGGGCGGGTCAAGTAGAACTACTGTCGGATGTCTAGTTCCATCCCAGGTTTCAGGTTGAATGAAGACCCTACCCAATGTAATGGTGTTTAAGTTTCATTCTACCGAATTGGAATCCAGAACTGAGAAGTCAGAAGTATTTAAGGTGATAGTCACTGATAGAAATGATAAGGGGGGGGGGGGGATTGTTGCTCTTAACATTTTGATTTATTGTAGGCTGTGCAAAGTGCTCAGTAGTCCGGTATTTATTTAGTATTTCGTATTTGCATTTTTAATTTTATAGACAGCAGTAGATATAAGATAGTATAGTAGATACTAGATAGAGTCTATAAATTCCTTGAAATCTAGAGTAGATCAGCTATTCATATTTATAAACACACAAAATTGAAAATTTGTACATAGAAATAGTATTTTGTTTTGACGTTTTTTTCTTTCTTCAAATTTCATATTTGACCCGTTTGTTTTGTTGCTCTTTTTATATATACTTTTTTTGGTTGTTTTTAAACAATAAACAAATACAGTACAAACATATCATATGAAATATTTATCTATTTTTTAATAAAACAATTCATGTTTGCCAAATGCGAAAAAAAAATATAGATAAATACAATACCCGATGTATTTATTTCGGATGTTCCAATGACAATTTCAGAATTGTTGTATTTTAAAAATATTCTCGACATAGAAATTCTCATCAAATATGGTATTTTAAAAAAAACCCCAAATATGCTATAAAAAATACTGCTTTGCCTTTTTGTCTGGGCTGGTATATGACCGCACTTTTCGCGATGACGACATGTTCTGACCGTCGGAAACTACTTCGCTATGACGACATGTGCGGACGTCATGTCTTTTATTACAGTCAGAAGTACGATATACGTCATGATGAGAAGACATGTCTTTGTCGTATAAATAAATACCAGGCGAACTCGCGACGGTCGTTTATTTTTTAAATTTAATTTGGTTTTTTTTGAATTGAAATAACAAATATAATATATATTTTTTAAGGCGACATGTCGCGATATCGATAATTGGGGTCGCGGAAGTCGCGACTTGTCTTGTGGCCGACTCAAGATTGAATAAATTAGACCCGCTGAATGCCCCATCAGGACCTTCATCGATTATAATTAGACGATTACCAATGAGTGAACATGAAAATTCCAACAAAAAAAAAATCCGACTGTATCGCTGAGCCTGAATGCGAGTACATATTTATATCTATGCGACATACGACATGTTTCCGACGACACGTTGCGACGCTGGTTTAGTACTCTTACGGAGGAAGATCAAAACTCAAAAGGAACGACATTTCTGGAGACTCTGTCAAGCAAAATGCAAACAGCACCCCCCGAGAGCAAATCATAGAGTGCCTCAAGCTATCCCAGTGAACTCTTAGCATTTTCCTCCCCTATTCTAGTGCAAATAGGACATAATTCACTCCCACTGATATATAATTATTTTAAAGATGCCGACACCATTATTTTCTTTTTTAAAACACTTTGAAATAAACAAGTGCTGAATAGAAACTGCGAATAGCACCAAGATAAATATGAGGCGGTTGCGCTAGTTACAGCCGCAAAATACAGCAGCAAGTGGTTGTGGTCGATAGCACTTGTGCGGAAAGAAGAGATTATTTAAGTGCACAACTGGCCATAAATCGTTAACAGGTGTTGTCAGCTTTCAAAAATATCGGTAATATTAACCTCCAATGCCAATCTCTTAATAATGTGTTCGATTCCAACTGTATACATTGTTCATGGTCCAACTGGGTGTGTGCTTGTTACTTGCGTTCAAATGTCGCATATGAACGAAATAACTCCGGCAGGGCATTGAACTGTCATTGTGCACCGATAATCTACTAGACAATGATGCACATGTATGATCACAATGGCCATAGTATTGTCGCCAGCGATGTTTTTGGTATTACATTAATGTGTACCACTTTTTATTAACAGTTGGGTTCGAAAGGTCAAATGCACAAATGAGCAATTTGATTGTTCATGTTTTTAGTAGTATTTTTAAAACTGCGAATATGATACATAGCAGGTGGACTATATCACAAACATATGCAAGTATTATATCAAAATAAATTTAATGGCTGGAAATTGCTGCGTTTGCCCTGTGATAGTTGCTTTATGAGAGATCAAAAAAAAATCTGATGATATTTTGCAGCTCGAGTAATCAATACACATATTGTTGATGCTAACGAAAATCATTGCGATGTTGTACCGCTCGAAAACGTCAAAGTGGGGCTATCGATTCCTTTTGCAACTAAAACACAAATGACTTGTTGATATGGAGCTAACAACTTCATGCGACATCTGACACATACCGATAGCTTTTCGCTGTTACAAATCTCGGCAGATTGCAAGCGTATGAGACAAACCCAATCAAGAACGCACCGGAAAGTATGTTTCATAGGCAACGAACAGCTCGTGCAGACCAAGGTGTGTTTATGCAGTGGTTCCCCAACTGTTTTCGTCCTATTGTCCAAGCAGATTTTCTTCTTCTTCTAATTGATCTGTCGCTGCGTGCATAGTGCATACTCAAGAGCAACTAGCGAATGGCAATTGCCATGGATCTAATGGTAGGTAATTCTTTCAATGGGACACGATTGGGAATCGAATAGTGATATATTTCACTTCCGAGTCTATAGAAGGCAGGAGAAAATGATAGCTTTTAAAGATCATATAATATTGATTGCCTATCAGATGAAGAGTTGATATCGTTTTGAAACAACGAAACAATATTTATTTAAAAATAGTAGCGTTGATAATCAATATTTTTTAAAGTATAAGAAGTGAAGCAGTGTTGATTAACTTTCGATCACCTTGTCAAAAATTGAACTTTTCAAATACATAATATAAATACATAGGCCCTACACGTTATTTCAGCGCCACGCTTAATACATCGCTATACACGAATAACATAGAAGTTCTATAGTAATACCAACAAAATGATGTCTCTCCGGATGAGTACGTGCGAACTGCTCTGTTCTGCATGCACACGAGCAATTGGCAGCCGGGAACCTGTGCTTCATATCAAAGCAGGAGATGGAGCTCGTCAATACTGCTTCCATCACATCATATGTCCATTGGATGCGCTATTTAACACCGCTGGATACAGAGAACTGCCTGAGGCCGCTCAGCTGTTTCTTCGCGAGTGGGCATCGTCAAACTTTGCTCGAGTGAGACGGAAGGATTGGGAGGTGTACTTTCCGAGTGAACTGACAATAGCTGCAGACGCGCCCGAGGCGGAAAATAAAAAAAACTCAGAGAACGCGCACGATGCAGAAGGCGAAGAAATGAAGAGTACTGAAGCCATGGAGTTCACTAGTCCCCAAAAAGTGGAGACAGGACAACAAGCCTGTAAACGTTTGAAAGTAGTTACGGGCTCCATTGTAGATCTGCTTACTGTTAGCGGTACAACAACATTCGGGTTGAGATGGTCAACCGAAAACAGGAAAAACTCGTCCGACAGCGCCGCTGGCAGCATTGACGTGCGAACAGAAGTTGCAAATTCAAATTCGGACGTCTTTGATATTGAGCAGAAAATGGAAGCAGAACATATTCAGTCAACGACTGCGAAGGAACTCGACACAGCTACACGGCGCTGGGCTTCACCGAATATTAAGGAACGTGCTTCAATTTGCACGCCACCAGCAAATGACTTGAACACAACCACACAAGATGCATCGAAGGCTGTCCGAGGAACTTCCGGAGAAGGAGACGTGGCTACGACTGCACAAACTGAAGAGGATCGGGCTGGAAAAGAACAACAGAGAACCAGTACTGTATCCAATGATTCTCTTGCTGTTTTGACAACTGATTCCGTGGAACCAGCGGGGGTCTCAGGAGTGCGGGGAGAAAACAGCGTTAGCCCATCGACTAATCACGCCAGTTTGCTTTCGAATGTCGCATTTCAAGGGTCGCAAACATTTGAGTGTAAGTTCTCAGCGGATACTGCGCCAGTATCAGCCGGCAATCAAGGTACAGCGAGATCTCCGTCCAGGACGACACATGGTACTTTGGCTGTGGATGCATGTTGTTGCAGTGGGACAGGTGCGTTATGTAGTGTCTACTCGAGCAAACGAAACACGCAACCATGCGAAGCAATGGTGGCAGATTCCACTGAAAGTAGCAAAGCACCTGCTGGAATGGGTAGTTCAAGTGGTGGCAATATGTACGGGAGCGCCATTACGGCGTTTGACAGTAGTATGCAGGCTGTGGAAAATCTCCCAGCCATTGCCAAACCTGTGTCTGCTAATGAGTTGGAATTGTCTGGACACTCTGATGCACATTTCCTAACAGCCAGTGAAAGGGCCAAAGTGTACGAACCCCCATATTCAGAAGGCAACAGTGGGCAATATGGGATTGGCACAACACCTGCCTACCCATATGGTAGTGAAATAGCAGTATGCGGCACGACCTCCGCATACACAGCCTCGTGCTACAAGGCTGCACATCAACCTGGCGACGCCGAAAACATCACCAGAAGGCTTTCTACGCAACCATATGGTACAGCATCTTCACATCTCTGTTACGACTACGTCTACCAACCGCTGAGTGCAAAAGCGTTGCAAATTGGACAGCAGTACGAGCCCATCGTAGCCACTAAGTTATGGCAGTTGTCTCAGCAGGCACAGAATCGTCGTAGGCAACATGAGGTTACTCAACCACCTACAAGCATTCCTCCTCAAGCGATTTCTAGCTACCCGAGCAAAACAGAATATTACAAACATTTCCATCCGGGGATATACTCGCCTATACAGTGTGTAGGGAACCCAAGCTGGATGCCGACGCCAACAGTTATCAACCCCGCTTCCACTGCAGGCCAAGTTGCACCTCAGGAACAGGTGAACAGATATATTATGAACCAACCTAGTGGTCAGACACAACTCGCACTCTCCACCAGCAGGCGATATACGGATGGCAACGGATCGGAGTCAGAGGTGTCCATCAACACCCCATCAACGTCGGATCTTCTACCCAGCGGTGTGGGTTGGCGCGAGTACGCGTTGTCTGAGGATATCAGCAGAGACTCGGTCTATACTATTAAAAAGGTGCTCCGACGTTTGGGGTTGGTGACTACGGGGAATAAAGCGTCTCTGCTCCATCGAATAAAGAAAGAGGCCCAGTCTGAGCGGGCCTTTCCTGAGCGGATGCGGGTACGCCATTTCCAGCGGCGCAGAGCAGAGTCTGCAGCAGAGTCGGAGGCAGGCGCTGTGAAGGAGACGGTTCTGCAGGAGTTGCGCGATGGTAATCTACAGGCAAAAAGACTAGACCAATTGAAAGGCTTGTGCAGACAGCTTAGAATTTGCGTCGGTGGAACGAAGGCAGAGATCATTTCGCGGTTGCAGCGATACGGCGAGGAGGATGATGCTAGGGCACTGGAAGCCGTATGGGACACGGAACACACACAGGTACACACATAGCGCAGCGTGGTGTGGGTGTGGCGGCATTGGGGACGTATGCTTGGGGTATTAATATATGACGCACGTACGGAGTAGAATTTCAGATGGCGTGATATTGTAACTAGCAATGTTCGAGACTACTCGACACCGAGAACGGAGGTAGCAGGCTCTAGTGCAAGTGACAACTGTCTCCTCAGTGAAAGGGCAATGGGTCTGGATAGCCTGATTGGAACCACAGCACCATTTGACACTTCAACGATCACGGATGTAAACCCGTGCAGAGATTTTCTGCACACGGGGCGCGCGTTGTTGGGTTTATCTACTACAATATAATGCAAAGATAGCACCAAGGATTTTGTCAAATATACAATATTCAACCTTGTATCAATGGAGGTCAAATTCAGTTATTCACCCACCACAATACAATATGAAGATGGGCCGCACCATGTGCATGGTATTAAAAGTGCTACTTTCAATTATCTATCGGTGGAGGTCATTCATAGAATTCCAAGGCGCCATACAAAACAAATATCCAACAAGGATCTACCGCAGCACCGACTTCCCGTTTGCATTATAGGGACATCAGTGTCAGACTCGTATGTTAAACTAATAAAACTGATAAAATGTACTTGACATTGCCTGGCCTGTTACCAGCTAGAAAGTCGCGTGTCTCGGAGTGTCAGCATTCATTGAGAAATCCGATCTACCACACTTTGCATACGTGGGTGTAGTAGTACTCAACGATACTGCACGGAGATTACTATCTGCGGTAGTGCATGCTGGTAACTGGTCGAGTAATATCACACTGCGCAACGTGGAAATTTAAATTAACTGCAAAAGAACCGGTCACGCCAATGAAACGAAGTCTAGCAGTCAACTACGGTGTTGAATACAGAGATATCATTGAGGGTTTGTTTGATGTAGAATGGGGTTTAACATACTACGAACGCTACACGAAGAGATTGAAGTCGCCCTCTGGTGTGGGTAACGTCAAAGTATCAGACAATGATGAGCCGTAGATGAGCGGTCAGAGTGTTTATCCTTAATACTTTGGTCCTCTCTGAGTAGTTAGTGCTATAGCCACCAAACATTCAGTGGAACTTCCGCTGGAGATTTGAGACCGTATGCGGCTTATGGGCACGCCTGCACCGATTCGAGGGGACCCCATAACTATGTTGCGCGAGTAGTTGGAGAGGTCTCACGGTCGAACAGCGGCCTTAGTGTCATACAATAGGCCGAGACAATACACAGTAGCGCATGGCAGCCATAAAAGGTACTCCAAAGTAAGTCACAACGCTAAATTCTTGAACGACAACAAATGGTGTGCGTTGTATAGTAACAGTTGGCATATCCGCACTATTTGTTACACGCCGATATCCAAACATGCTTAAACTCAAAACTTTGAGTTCAACTGAAGTCATCCACAAGTATTCGTTAAAACAATTAGAAAAAAGTAAGCAATAAGCTATATAAACAGAAATAGGAACGCAAGTAAATCGACAAAAGTTTATAGGAGGTAATATATAATTATCATATTTGTACATACGAATATATATATATATATATATATTTAAACCCACACACACACAACCACGCACACACACACACACACACATATATATATATATATAATTACACACACACACATAGTATATATCTAATAAATATTAATATATAC